TGCTAAGCCCAATCACTCCAATCGTACGCAGTTCAAACGCAAGAAGCAGTTCAACAATCGAAAGCAATTGCAGCAGCTTTCCTTTGGGATGCCAACCGAATTGGATCCACACTATTATTCCAAGGAATTGAATGATAGCAATGTTGATATTTTTGATGCGAGCACCTACAACATGCCATCTGTCAGCGCTCAAGATTTAAAGAATCAACTGATTGCTGATGCCAAAAGTTCATACAATGGTTCATCTGGTGGACAGTCAGATTGTAATGCTCTTATTTCACGTGCTATGAAATATGCTGATTACATGACTCCTCCGAAGAAGGATCGTCTAGAGCTTGTTATGCGAGTGCATTTACTCGGTCATGTGGGCATCAATTCAATGGAAAAGATTTTGCACAATGATTACAAGGTACATTGGACCAACATGCGCAATGACATCGCCACAGTAACCAAGGATTGTCATGCTTGTCAATCGCATGGTATCTACCAAGTGGGATATCATCCTCCTCGTAGCGTGTTGCCAGACAATGTGTTCGATCATATAGCTATCGATTTAGGTGATTTCGCTACGACTTCCACCTCGGGCAATAACTTCCTGCTAGTCATTGTCGATTATTTCAGTCGATTCACCATTCTACGAGCTCTTCCTGATAAGAGTCCAATCACTGTTGCAAGAGCATTGCTTAGTGTATGTTGTCTATTTGGATTTCCCAAGCGACTCACTAGTGACAATGGCTCTGAATTTGTTGGAGCATTTATGAGAGAGTTCAGTCAGATTAGTGGCATGGATCGCTTGACCTCGTTGCCGTACGCTGCGCAAGCTAATGGTGTTGTCGAAGCGTATGTGGGCATTTCGAAACGATCTATCATTAAATCATTGACACACGATGCTGCAGAACCTGAGGCATGGGATGAGTATCTCGATGTCATTCAGTATGCCATGAACATTCAATACGCTAGATTGCATCAATCGCAGCCGTTTGCTATCATGTTTGGGCGTGCCCCAAATCTCTTCCAGGATTACACTCAATTGCCTAATGCTGACCAGACACCCGAGGATCCTACCAAGGAAGTCATTGATGCCCGCTTACAGAACATTAAGGATGTGGTAATCCCTGCCATCCATAAGCGTATCAAAGAAACACAATTGCGCGACCATGAGCGCTTCGAAAAGCATCACAAGATCATTGAAGAGAAGTATCCCATCAATTCAAAGGTCATGCTCTTCGACCCTGTCAGATCAACTAAACTTCACCCCAGATGGCTCGGTCCATATTTCATCAAGAACTATACTCGCAATGGTAGTTATACTTTAGCCGACATTACTGGTGAATTGCTGCCCCGTGATGTGCCTACCCAGCACATTCGCGTTGTCGATTTCTCGGACAATCATGTTACAAAAGGCTTACTTCCTCGCCACTATGAAGTGCAAGCCATCGTCAATCATCGCGTTGAAAGAAAGACTGGTCGAATGAAGTTTCTTGTCAATTGGGTAGGTTATCCGTCCTCGAAGGACAATACCTGGCAATATGAAAGCGATTTTGATTCCAAACGACCTATTCGCGACTACTGGGATCGCATTGCACCGGATCACAAGAATCCCAATCGACTCCTTCCCAACACTGTCAATAAGCGCAAGATTTATAGTCGTCGTAAGCATGCAGGACCGTCCGTCACATTGCGTTATCCGTCGATTCCAAACTCTCGTAACCACAACATTCAGCAATAGCCGTGATCTTTTTGTCCTTGATTTGTTTTTTTTGGCCTGAATATGGTTTTTTTTACAAGGTTTTTCTTCGATCTGCTATTCCCTTTGCTGCTATCATCTTCTGATAACCTCTCCTCGTATACCCCATGTATGTTGTTTTTTTTGGCACCATCTCGGTTTTTTTTACTTCATATTGGTTTCCATCGCTTTGCCTGTCTACCTGTTTGTATCGCCTTCTTGTTTCTTGGTTCTGTCTCTTCGTTCTGTGTTGTATCCTCGATTATTGCATTCGGCTCGTATGATATCCTAGTTTGTGGCTGGTCGAAAGCTGGGTGGGGGTAATGTTGCATACAAGCATGCATCTTAGGCTACATTCACTTTCTCCTCAAGCCACCTTTTACAGTGTAGCAGCATAGATGATGTTCATCGTATCACATCACATCTATGTTTACAAGTCCAGTCAATTGTGTGTGCACAGGTGCCTCAGGAACTACAATACATTCAATCTCCCCAATGTCAAAATATCGAGATCCACCTACACTACATGAAACATACCGACTTAGGTGGCCTCTCAACAAGCTATACCAACAATCCATAAGGCCCCAGTGGCCTGCTATTTATATACCATCTCAACGTAGTAGTCATTGACCAGGGATCTACCATATTTAAGCAAGCTAGATGCCCTGTAATAAAGAAGCTCTTTGCTTTCGTTTTAGATACAGTTGACAACTGATTATTATCATCGACTTATTATTACGAATTCATCAAAGACCCGATTAGCAGCCGCAACAGCAACATCAGCAGCAATACCAGCACCATAGAAAAACCAAAGAACGAACGCCACCAGCAGATACCAGACAAAGACCAAGGAAGCAACCGCCAGATATGATAAACCAAAGACGCAGGCAGCAGCTATACCAGAGAAGTAATGTCAGCAGCACCCACATCAAACAGGCAAAAATATTATCAAAAACTAATAAAAAATTCAATTAGTGTTGATTCTATGCCTTTCAATGCTCGTTATCGAATGCTACCTAATATATTCTACTTCATAAAAGCAGCACCAAGTCTTTCTCACAGTACAATACAGCGTTATCAGAATCCAGAGTGGTATTATCAATGAAACGGTTTCCAAAACCACCATGGTTTGATACTAAACGCGTTTTGCAAAAAGGGGAAAAAAACGAGGATATGGGAAAATGAGAGGGCGCTCTATTCGACGTCACGACCAGTAGCTTTGATCTTAGTCTTCTGCCGTGTCAGCTGTAATAGCGGCAGTTTAATTTGAAATCGTGCAGTGGTTATTTTCGTGTTCAACTTTGAATTGATCTCACATCTTTTAAAAGTTTTTGCTAAATTTGACTATGAAAGCTGTCGTTATCACACCCAACTCTCTAAAACATCTCTAGAGAACTAAAGAAGCTTCATCGAATGGTGCTGATTACTTTTAGCTTTCAGAACAAAAATAATGAGCAATTTTCAGAAATATGAAAATAGGGCTTCTGTGAACATGTCAAAATTTAGCATATAAGAGCCTAATAGAAAAAGTATTCATTTTTGGAGAGAAAAACGCGATCATTTGATTTTCAAGAATCTTCCCTTGCTAATACTAATGGAAAAACGATGATTTTCATGAATTTACAACGACTCAAAAAAAAATTGAAATAAAGCATCAGGAAGTAAAGCGTGGCTAAGAGGAGGCGTCTGTTGCTATTCCAAGCGCTCAAAACGCTTTGTAGCATGAGTTATTCGTGCCTCAAATTGGCTAGATTTGAACAGAATTCGTCCTAAAATGACGGCGTAGTGGGTTGCGTTGTCAGAAGAGTCAGTAAATTACACTTCTGTCTAATGGCCCAGATGCTATGCATTGTACAGAACTCGATTTTCAAGTGATAGGCGCTTTTATTATAATTCCAAGGCTCAGATCTTGCGTTTTGAAATGTGCGATTATTACAGTAATCTTGACACTTGAGCATTAATAATACTATGCAAGTTTGAAGCTAATGACTTGCTTGGATTGAATTAGATGCTCATCAGGTTATCAGGATACTTTCGATGGTTTTTCACGACAGAAATACCATATCTAGTCGTGAAGCTAGACTAAAAGTCTATCAACGATGTTACTCATATTTAAAGAGAAATGCTGACACCGGACAGCCTGACTCGATGTCAGAATAATGGGGGCGAGCAAACAACGATATTTTTTATCAAAGTCGGGCGAATAGACATTCATGATGCCTACAAGTTCCGCTGTGGAATTTGAGGCTTTATAGACTAAAATTCACAGAAAAAAAATAAAACAGTAAAGTCAACTTGATAAAGGTATGTTTTATTATCAAACTGACAGGTGTAAAGTAAACTGAAGTCCCTCTACTTGACAGGTAGATGATCCTTCTTATATACTATAACAATGGATAAAAGTTCTATTAATTAGATTGACAAATAAGTCAACTCAGATCAACCAATGTCTAATCATGCTAAAAGACAACTCCAGCAAACTAATCATGATTTAGCTTTGCCTGGATGAATAATTAGACTCTCATCCAAAGTACCCTGATCTATCCTTTCTATAAGGATAGTTAATATCGATCTAGTAGCATGTATTCGATAGGTACAGTCTTCTTAGTCTATATCAATAGTGTTGTGCCAGAAGGGCTACAACTTTCTATAAAGATTAAGGTATTCTTGATGGGTAGATATGTCTGTGTTGTGCAACAACATGGACAAGCTATGATAAGTGAAGTGCATCTCAGCTATCTAAATACTGAGGTTCACCAAATGTGATAAGCGTTGTACAAGATAAATTGCTACTTTGACATTCAGAACTTAGTATAAATAGAATAACTCTTGTCTTCATCAATAAATCTTTAGTTTTTGTGTCTGATCTTATTCAACTAAGTCTTTTCTTGTTTTTATAATATCGAACATTTTTTATAAGCTACAAATAATAATCCTTTTATTCTTTGTGCTTAACATTCAGGAACGAGCGCGAAATTACGCCAGGCAAAGAAGATTGGCGAATCGAAGAACACCAAGAGCACCTGCAGCGTTTGTATCAGAACTTGGAAGAGTACAACGTTCAGATTTGGGCAGAATGGACAACCAATGTGATGGATGTGGAGCTTTGCATTGGGCCGCAGAGAGGGCTGTTCAACAGCGAGTAAACGACAACTGCTTTCATGCTTGCTGCAAAAAAGGTAGAGCTGTCTTGCCCCTTTTGCAAGAGCCTCCCGAGCCTTTAAATAGCTTGATCAACGGAAGCCATCCTCGGTCCTCTCATTTTTTGCAGCACATGCGACAATACAACACTTTGTTCGCATTTACATCATTTGGCACCGATGCTACGCCTGAGCAGCTCCAAAGAGATAGAGAGAATGAGATGAGAGGCGGCATCACGCCGGTTCGTGTTCATGGGGAACTCTATCACTTGCAAGTACCACTAAATTTGAGCAATGTGCCAAAGTATAGCCAGCTGTACGTTTACGACCCAGAGTATGCCGCTGCGATTCGCTGTGCAGACCCCAGAAATCAAGGATTGGACGACACGATCATTGAGCAACTAAGTGAAATGATTGCTGATCCTTTAGTTTGTGGCAATCCATTTGTAAGCATCTACAAACATGCTCACGAAATCCTGAAAGAAGAAGAAGAGAGGCAAGCTCAAGATGGTGTTAGCGAGAATGCTCACATCAGGCTCAGTCCTCAGATGCAAATGGAATTGGTTGTTGGCAAGGACAAACGCACTCAAAATCTGCCAACTGCTGTCAACGAGATTGCTGCCATCATCCCAAACGAGTGTTCTGACAGGAGTTTCAGAGATATTTTGATCACATATCGTAGCAATTCCTCGGCCAGGGCTCAAGGCCAGTTTAAGCGTATCAATGAGACACATGCTGCATATATGCCTCTTCATTATGCTTTGCTTTTTCCTAGAGGTGAATATGGGTGGAATTGGGGCCATCGACTGCAATCGTCAGCGCAAACTGTTGATGCCATGATTATTGAGAGCGAAGAAGATGAGACACCAGCAGAGCAACAACAACAGCAAGTGTCAGATAGCCGACTTACCCAGGGCGTGTTCTACAGATTTCGATTGCATGTTAGAAACAACGAGTCAAAGATCATTTTTTTTTTGTCAAGACGTCTATTTCAACAATATGTGATTGATGCCTGGGCAATCTGTGAGCAAAAAAAAACTGAACTGGATCAAAGTGAATCAGACGAATCTTCGCGCTGATGTGTATAAAGGACTTGCTGATGCTACCTCTGCTGCTGACTCAGACCTCGAACAGGTGGGAAAGACGTTCATCTTGCCCAGTAGCTTCACTGGTGGACCGCGATTCATGATGCAGCTATACCAAAATGCAATGGCTATCTCTAGATTCTTTGGTAAGCCAACGTTCTTCATCACATTTACTGCCAACCCAAACTGGAGGGAGATCCAAGATGAATTGTTGCCAGGCCAAACGGCCGCTGATCGCCCCGACTTGGTTGCTCGAGTATTCAACCTTAAGCACCGAGAGCTGCTTAAAGACTTGAAAGACAGAAAGGTCTTTGGCTGTTATAAAGGCATTGTAAGGACTATTGAGTATCAAAAGCGTGGTCTCCCTCACGGTCATATGCTATTATTTTTGGATGCAGAAACAGAGAGGATTGATCAGATCATTTGTGCTGAGATCCCAAATGTTGAAGAAGAACCTGAATTGCATGCAATCATCACTCGCAATATGATGCATGGCCCATGTGGCGAGCTAAACTCAAAGTCTCCGTGTATGGTACAAGATGCTTTTGGCAATGATGTATGCTCAAAGAAATTTCCCAAAAACTACCAGCCAGTAACGGTGACCAGTGCTGATGGTTATCCTACTTATAGAAGAAGAAGAGATGGTCGTTCTCATCAGGTGCGCGTTAAGGACAAGTTGGGTGTCTACCGCGATTTCCACATGACGAATGAGTGGGTAGTGCCATACAACCCTTATTTGTCAAAAAAATACAATGCCCATGTAAATGTCAAAGTATGTGGTAGCGTCCAGGCAATTAAGTACATCAACAAGTATATTTACAAAGGCTCTGATCAGACAACGCTCAAAACTACAACCACCACCACAGCCACTGAAACAGCAAATGCTGTAATGAAATAGCCACCCAAACGCAACTTAATTGAAAACCAAAGTTCATCAAATAGCACTCATTCAAATTCATGCTATTTGGATCTATTAATGAAAGCGCTCAAATGTACATCAAAAACCCATTTAAAAATACTAAAGTAAAGATACACGCTTATATCGCACATCGTGTGAATGAATCACTCCTGATCACAGTGTATTCAATCACACCCATGATGGTCGTAATAGGTGATGGTATCTTTATCCAAATAGAATTAAATCAATAACAAGCATATTCAAATATGACAACTATGCCCTGCTGCCATAGTTTCACAATACTCTAGAGAAAGGGGTTCTACACTTGAATAACAAACATCACACCTCAAACTATCAAGGTTAAATTAAACCATGCTATGACGATAGCTCACCCAAGCCCATCAAGGTTATTAGTCAAGTCGACCCTTATGGCCATTGCTCTTGCATTGATTACCACTTTAAATCAAATATCAAAAGCCTTTGCCAGACATCGCAATAGCAGCACCTATTGCTCTCTATCATCGCTAATCTTGCAAGCTAATTGCAAATGTATAAATACTTTTTTTTTCTACTCAATTCCAGGACCTTGAGTTCATTTTATACGCAATTAAAATACAGTTGATTTCTATTGTATTTTACTATTGCTTTATTTTTTTTTTGTGAAATCTGTTTAAACCTGATTTCACTGCAGATGTATTCTACAGCAAGATCTGAGCCTTGGAATTATAATAAAAGCGCCTATTACTTGAAAATTGAGTTCTGTACAATGCAGAACATCTGAGCCATCAGACAGAAGTGTAATTTACTGACTCTTCTGACAACGCAACCCACTACACCGTCATTTTAGGTCAAATTCTGTTCAAATCTAGCCATTTTCAAGCATGAATAACTCATGCCACAAAGCGTTTTGAGCGTTTGGAGTAGCACCACACGCCTTCTCTTGGCCACGCTTTACTTACTGATGCTTTATCTCAAAATTTTCTGGGTCATTGCAAACCCATGAAAATTCTCATATTTACATGAGTATTAGCAAAGAAAAATTCTTGAAAATCAAATGATCGCGCTTTTCACCCCAAAAATGAAGACTTTTTCTATGATATATATTAGGTCACATTGATTGTAATGATAAAATGCGACATTGGAAGCTCTTTCTATAAGACTTGCATACGCTAAATTTTGACATATTCATAGAAAACCTGTTTTCATACTTTTGCGAATTGCTCAATATTTTCAGTTTAAAAACTGTATATAATTAAAATCATTCGATGCGGCTTCCTTAGTTCTCTAAGTTTGTATTAGAAAGCTGGTTATAATAACGAGAGTTTTCATAGTGAAATCTGGCAAAAACGTTTAAAAGATGTCAGACAGGTCAAGTTTGAACACGAGAATACCTACTGCACAAATTCAAATTAAATTGCCGCAATTAGGGGGTGCCACTGCAGAAGACTGAGACCAAATCTACTAGCCGTGACGCCGGATAGGGCGCCGTCTCATTTTTTTTCCATATCCCCGTTTTTTTTTTCCCTTTTTGCAAGACGCGTTTAGCATCAAGTCATGGTCGGTTTGGAAACTGTTTAATTGATAATAACACTCTAGCTTCCAATAAATCTGTCTTGTACTTCTGGAAGAACTTGAAACTGCTTCTTTGAAGTGGAATATATTAGGTACTATTCAATAACGAACACTGGAAGGCGTAGAATTAACACTAATTGAGTTTGTTTATTAGGTTTTAGTAATTTTTTGCTTGTATGAGTGAGTGCTGCTGCTATTACTTCTCTGCCTTCTCTGCTGCTTGTTTCTTTTTGGGTTCATCATGTCTGGTGGTTGCTTCTTTGGTCTCTGCTGGTGACGTTTGTTCTTTGGTTTTTCTATGATGCTTGTGTTGCTGCTGCTGCTGCTGCTGCTAATCTGGTCTTTCCTGGTCTACTGTATCTGGTGCATGCTCGTTCTCTGGTTTATATCCGGTGATTGCGTAATATCTGGTCTATCTCTGGTGGTGATACGTGGTAAGTAATTTCTTTGATCTTTGTCTGCTCTCTGCTGATGGCGTTTCAAGTTCTTTAGTTTTTCCATGATGCCGGTGTTGCTGCTGCTGCTGCTGCTATTCTGGTCTTTCCTGCTGGTCTGCTGTATTTGGTGCATGCTCGTTCTCTGGTCTGTCTCCGGTGATTATTGCCTATACTTTTCTGGTCTATCTGTGGCTGTGGTAAGTGGTAAGTATCTTCTTTCTTCTGGCCGCAATGATATAAAACTTCTTTGAACGCTTATATTTTTGCGTCCTTTCTCGTGATAATGCATTCATGATGTTTGCCTTGTTGCACTTTTTCTTCTTCTTTTTCTTTTGTTGGTGGTGTTTCCTCTGTGGCTTCACATGAAACAACATTAGTCATTATGTCGTATTGCAAACTTATAATACCACTTTTGCTTTTGCAGTTGTGCGTATTTGTGCCATGTTGCTTTACATCAGACTATTACTACCATGCACGTTGCTCATGTATGCATTTTTATTGCAACAAGAACAACGAGCTTTTTTGAACATCTTTGATGTTGTATTTTTTATACTTTTCTTTGACTCACTTCGCGTGAGTGTCTCTTTTTTTGTCTACATAATATTACTATACTCTTGTAGTATTATGTTCATTTGTTCCTTTTATTATGTTTCTTTTGAAGCATACTTTTTTACGTTGTGTGGATGCGCCTATCCCTGAAGCTCAACAAGACTTTATCCGAGGCTAGGAGGTAGATAGGCCGCCTCCACTTGGTTATCGCTACTTACTTTAGTGATAATTGAGAGTCTCAACGCCTGAATCTAAAGCTAGATGATGTAAGTAAGACATGCTCTAGCACCTGGGGGAAGTTTGATGATAGCAGCGGCTATATTGCTATTATAGCGGCGCTTAAAATTTTGCCTCACATCAAAACAGGGGGAAACCCTCGCAAAATTTTTTTTATGTCAGCGGAGTATTCAAGCAATCTGATTGGCTAAGAGGTTGAAGCAGCGAAGGGCTACAACTAGTTGATCTTCTATTGATCTGTCGTTTATTATAATTTTGTGTTTGTAATAAAACGGGTATCCAAACAGATACAATTTCAATTCTTCCTTATTCGAAATAACATAAGGTGCAGTGATTTGATCTGATATCGGTTACACAGCTCTATATGGGGGACGTTTATTGAATTTATTATGTGAAAAACGTTATTATATTATAGGTACAGTAGTACACTCAATACTACTAAATCCTCCCAGCAATACCGAATGCTTCGCCAAGCATGTGTCTTTTATCATCAGGTTTCAGCATGTGTGTTAAGCACAAAGAATAAAAGGATTATTATTTGTAGCTTATAAAAAAATGTTCGATATTATAAAAACAAGAAAAGACTTATTTGAATAAGATCAGACACAAAAACTAAAGATTTATTGATGAAGACAAGAGTTATTCTATTTATACTAAGTTTTGAATGCCAAAGTAGCAATTTATCTTGTACAACGCTTATCACATCTGGTGAACCTCAGTGTGGAATTTGAGGCTTTATAGACTAAAATTCACGGAAAAAAAAGAATAAAAAAAACAGTAATGTCAACTTGATAAAGGTATTATGTTTTATTATCAAACTGACAGGTGTAAAGTAAACTGAAGTCCCTCTACTTGCCAGGTAGATGATCCTTCTTATATACTATAACAATGGATAAAAGTTCTGTTAATTAGATTGACAAATAAGTCAACTCAGATCAACTAATGTCTAATCATGATTTAGCCTTGCCTGGATGAATAATTAGACTCTCATCCAGAGTACCCTGATCTATCGTTTCTATAAGGATAATTAATATCGATCTAGTAGCATGTATTCGATAGGTACAGTCTTCTTAGTCTATATCAATAGTACATATCTGAGTGTATATCGCTGAGCATACATCTTTAGCATGTATCTGGATATATGGCATGTCTATATTATATCGTATGCATGTCTATAGCATGTCTCATATATAGTCCAAGTCTGTAGTACATAAAGTATCTGTAGCTAGTATCGCGGATATAAGCATGTGTCTTATAGCGTGGATCATAAAGTGCACATCTGAAGCAACAAGCTCATATTGCATTAATCTTGGTGTCTATCCAGATATGGTAAACATCCGTAGTCAATGTCGGAATACAAGTATAAGTCTATAGTGCCATCCATGTCCGTGGTGCCATCTATAGCCTATATCTTATATAGTATGAATCTAATAGTACTAGCGTATCTGAAGTCCATATCTTCTTATAGTATAAATCGATGTCGTACATCTAATCCAGTGCACAGATAGTTTATATCTAAATCTGGTAACTGGATGATCTGTCGGAATGCAGATCATAGTGGATGTATTCCACATCCGTAATGCAAGGTTCGACACCAAGAGATTGTAGTGAAATTAGGTTTAAATGGTTTCAGGGGCCTACACTGCCGAAAAGGTCAGCTCCAGCCAAATTGTCCAAAATCGATCGCTCAAAGCCAACTTTTGCTACAATGGGGCATATAAACTTTTTTTTTGTTTGCCAGCACGAGTCATACAATGCCCTGAATTTATTTCGTAGACTTGACCATCACATGTGTGGAATACATCCACTGTGATCTGCATTCCGACAGTTCATCCAGTTACCAGGTTTATATATAAACAATGTGTTGTGCATTGGATTAGATGTAAGATACGACTTGATGATAGTATAAGGAGGAGGATATGAACTTCAGATATGCTAGTACTATAAGATTCATACTATATAAGATGTATCTTATAGATGGCACCACGGATATGGATGGTGCTATAGATTTCTACTTGTATTCCGACATTGGCTAAGGATGTTTGTCATATTTGGATAAGCACCAAGACCGATGCAATATGAGCTTTCTGCTTCAGATGTGCAATTTACGATTCACCCTACCAGACACATAAAGCTATACTTGTGATACTACTTGCTGCAGATACACTATGTGCTGCAGACTTATACTATATACAATCCCGTTTCACCAATACACATAATAAATTTCCAGGATGGCCATAAAATCTATCCACAATTTTATACTTTTCTTCTTATTTGATTCAGTTCCTACTAAAGTTACTGACAATTTGGCAGGCGCTAGCCTATTGATCACTGTAATCCATTAGAACTAATGCTACAGCTTTGAGTAAGATATCAAACAATAGGCAATTGTTAAATCTACACAATGAATACTGCTTCGTGTAAATTGTGCAAACGTCGTACATGATTTCCTTTAAATCCTCTTAAAATATCTGAATACAGCCTTATTTGTGTACAAGCTGTAGAAAAACTACCAATAGTGGCACCATTCCATGCGCATTTTGAGTCGGTGGAGTTGCTAGGGACTAGAAACGACGACTACTATTGAAATTGGTACATTAAAGCGTCTGAAGTGTGCAAGTATGCATCGTAATACTAATATCTAGCTAGTGATAGAAGCACAGGGTGTTTCGACCTACAGTTGTACTACGATATTATCCATCACATATAACAACTTTCTTCTTTTGTCAGATTATAGAAAATTTTACAAGAAGTTGCTTTATAAATCTCACAATATAGTTATGCAATCATTGCGATAACTGGGAGAGGCTATATCGTAGTAGTCAAAACGTCTAGATATATTTGAAGGTTGTGGTTTCGATCCCGTGTAGGACTGACCTTTTTTCTGATATAGCATGAGGCGCTAGTAGGTGCCTGCTATGCGGGATCATTTTTTTACGGCTTTAATTTGAAAATATCTCAAATCATTTTGAAAAACGGCATATACCATTGTCTTTTATTCATTTGTACACATTGTTAACTTCAGTTTACATTAATCCAGGCAATCTCATTGACGAATCTGGGCAAAAGTACCTCCTACTCATTAAAGTAAGTACGACATCCATCCTTTCATTAACATGTTTCTGACCAAATGCGCTATCATGGGGTACATGGATAGAATGGCAGATCAAGCAACGACTCTAGGGCCACTAACTCATTGCATACCTGTCTTTTTTATTTGCACCTTGGGCATTGAGAAAAAATGGTATAGGTGCAGACTTCAACGAGAATAACAATCCAAGATGTGGAAATTAAGGATCACACACCACATCATTATTGGATAGGGCGAAGGACACTGCTAGGACACAATTTGTGTCCTCGGATTATTAAGGCACAACCTAACTCAACTTGTCGCTTTTTGGTGGCAATAAAATGTTGCGGGACACAATTGCATTCTATTGTAAACTTGTATGTGACCAATTTAAGAACAGAACAAGCTTTCATCCAAACATTAACATATAAGGTGATTATTCTTCAAGCAGTGGTTTAATAGAGTTATAAAAGGTGATTTTTGTCAAGACCTATTCTACTATGTTCAATAATGTTGATTTGGTGCCTGAAAAAAGCTGCGAGATCTCTTGAAGTTAAAAAAAAAAAGAGGCATGCACTATTCAATAATCATAAAACGTGCCTCGTGTAAATGTTCAGGCAAGCAAAATACATGAGACTTGTCAATATCTAATAGCCATCACCAAGTACTGTGCTTATGGAATCAAGTGCCATACTCTGTAACAAGGTATCATACGAAATCTGAGCTGTGGTAGAATGATATACACAATACATTGCCTATGCGGTATTCCGCTATATGTCCAATCTCAGAGATGGTAATGTTATCCTCATCCAACATGCGACGCAGAAAAAGATGTCTTTCTTTGACATCAAAGCTGTTGATTTATTTGATTGTGGTTTGAGCAAGAGTGTCAAGCCCATTGCAATTATTGACGACATCAGTGCCAGTGTTTAGGAATTATTCGTTTCTCGTGGCTTCTCTCACTCTTTTTGAGTCGATCAATCGGTTTCAAATGCTGCAAGAGTATTCTGACACTGCAACCACTCTTGGAAACGAAGAAACATTTGTCAAGTATGAAATGACAACCAGCAAAGTCGATAATGCTGTCCTCTCCAATAGGCGAAAGAGGAGGAAGAAGTCATCAGTCAAGAAGCTACAGAAAAGAAGGGCAACTGGACGAATCCGCTTGAAGAAACTTCACCAACATTTGGTAGCCAGTGAAGCCAGATCTGCTGCAACCATGTCCACCTTCAACAAGCCAAAGATGGTTTCCTTCATAGGAAACTGGCATCGCAATACTCAGTACCTCCGTGGCCACAGCACTCGAAGTATGAAGCCGTACATGTTAATGCTGTCCACAAGAAGCACAGTCAGATTGGTGGACGAATACAATTCTACAAAAATTTGCTGCTCATGTTTCAAGGAGACACAGAAACAACTGGTGCGTGATGAGGATAATAGAATGAAGAGGAACCTCGGTGCCGTTACATGCTTTAACCCTGAGTGTCCAAAAAGGCTGGCTAAACAAACTACCATGAATCGTGATGAGCAAGGAGCGAGTAACATTGCCCTCATTGGTTTTTCGGCACTGGCCTCACTTGACAACAAGGTGTTGCCTCCTTTCAGTCGAGTTCAAAACCCTGATAAGTAAGTTGGCCTTTTCACTGGGATCTATCAGCAATTTTTTTGACCTCTTACTTTTTTATAGGTACGTCTTATCCCCCACTTATTCACATGTCTTTGCACGCCAAACTGGCAATGTGAGGACACCCGCTTAGTCGGTGAATTATTGCAATAAAACCAATTATTGAACATCATATAAAATTTTGTTAGTTACGAGCCATTAAGAGTAATAGATCAATAGATGGGATGCTTTAAAACGTTGTATTTAGTGCCGCTTGGTGGTACCTTGCTTCGTTGTGGTTTAGCAATGGGTCAAAGGTTTGCTGTGCATTTTACGAAAAGAGGAGTATAGCTATTCCAAACTCTTCTATATTACTGATGCTAGATGATTTATCAGAAATAAATTATTTAGAAAAAGAGCATGAAAATTAATCAGGTAAAGAATGTCGTTTATTACATTAGAGATGAGAGGGTTTATATACAATTTGAAGTGAGGGATTTGATGTGAAGATAAGGTGTTCAATGGGTTGATCTGAGTGATAGGATAAAAAATCCCACCTATTATTATCCTGAACATACCGTAACTAGGACCGTAACTGAATCCTGTTTCATGTCAAATTTTATGATCTGATATGATTTGTGCTTGAACTGATAACAATGTAGGTTATAGCTCTGGTTATTCATCAGACACAACTGTTATAACGATGATCTAAATGGACTAACGTCAATGGTAGATTGTGTATTGACGAATCTTGCCAAACAGCGGCCAATGGCAATGTCGTTGATCTAGGAACAAAATGGCTGTATCCAAGTACAATCAAGCCAGGTGAGGTTACGTTACCAAACTGCTAGTTCAACGATCTTGGTCATTAATATGATATTCTGGTTTCATGCGGAAATGATTAATAATCTAGAGCGCGAATAAGCAGCATTTGAATGTAGTTGTCTACCTGGTCCTGAAATATGCTACACAATCCAGCAAGCTCTACTATGATGGCCAAGATGACCAAGCATCTTACCTCTTAAAGCTATAGTGATATTACATCATATAATATTTCGTCTGCAAGCACCACTAGAAATGTATGTGAACATGTCGAAAGAAGATCAGTGGAGGTTTTTCACGGATGAAAATATCAGCTCTCCGAGAACGTCAGTTACGGTTTTACCCTTTTCAACCTTAAACATGTATTTAGTTTGGTATGTGCGTGTTTAGTGGCCTCCGAAATCAATTTAATGGTGTAGCAGTAGCAAAAGAAACGTCTCTGAGGCTTCAAAAGGCACAATTACAAATGAATCCCGGTAAGAACCGAAACCATGACAGTGCGTACTTTTATGACGATGACTGATCAATAACAAAGTAAGCCATTGCGATCTACTACAGCACACAAAACTCTTATATGAAGATCGAGTTTAGAGAAGCACATGGAAGTATACTATTAGAGCAAACGTAAGTGGAGGAAACCGGATGGATCCCTCGTTTTTTCTCACGAGTGCTCACAGACCTGAGAATGTGGGGAAGGATGGGTAAAGCAAATAACGGAGCACGCAATTTGTCTCCGACGTGTACCTTTGTAAAAGACGTCTACAGCCATTACATGTGAAGATCAGTGAAGATGACTGATAAAGATATATCCGACCAAGAGAACATACTAGTTGTGTACACAATGTTACTGAGACGATGATTTTTGTATGTAAATTCGAGAAATTTTATTTATAAAACAATTGAGAAATTTTTAATATGAAACAAGATATAGGCATTGTCAATATATTTATTGAGCGGCAGCATCAACCTTGGCAGCATAGGCCAAAAGATCGATGACACGGTTGGAGTAACCGAATTCGTTATCGTACCAGGAGACGAGCTTAACGAACTTGTCGTTAAGAGCAATACCGGCAGCAGCATCGAAGACGGAAGAGCTGTTCATATCAATGTTAGTAAGCACTTTAAACGATAAATTTCATGCATTCTCCTACCATAACTCTCCAACGAAATCGGCTAGAAAAAGAAAAAAGAATATTAGCATACTGTTTGGCATCATATAGCTAGTATATATGGAAAGATGAACATACTGGAGACAACTTGGTCGTTAGTATAACCGAGGATACCCTTCAACTCGTTCTCAGAGGCCTTCTTAATGACATCCTTAATTTCTTCGTAGCTAGCACCCTAATGAATAAGCAAATGTCAGCCTTTGTTACTTGATGTATCGAACAGACCTGCTTACCTTTTCCAATCTGACAGTGAGATCAACGACAGAGACATCAGGGGTAGGGACGCGGAAAGCCATACCAGTGAGCTTACCGTTAAGTTCAGGGATGACCTTACCGACTGCCTTGGCGGCACCAGTGGAGGAGGGGATGATGTTGGCACCAGCACCACGACCACCACGCCAGTCCTTGTTGGAGGGACCATCGACAGTCTTTTGGGTAGCAGTAGTAGCATGGACAGTGGTCATCAAACCTTCAACGATACCAAAGTTATCATTGATAACCTTGGCAAGGGGAGCCAAACAGTTGGTGGTACAAGAGGCATTGGAGATGACCTTGAGATCAGAGGTGTACTTGTCGAGGTTGACACCACAGACAAACATGGGGGCATCACCAGAAGGAGCAGAGATGATAACCTTCTTGGCACCACCTTGAAGATGGGCAGAAGCAGCATCAATAGAGGTGAAGACACCCTGGGTTCAATGTTAACATTGCATTTTTCTCGGGAGTGATTGTGTATAAACTTACAGTGGACTCAACAACATAGGCAGCTTCGACGGAACCCCAAGGAATTTGAGCAGGGTCACGCTCAGAGAAGACAGCAATCTCCTTACCGTTGACAACGAGCTTACCATCCTTGGCCTCAACAGTACCTTGGAAACGACCGTGAACGGAATCGTACTTGAACATGTAGACCATGTATTCCAAAGGGATGAAAGGATCGTTGATAGCAACAACTTGGACTTCAGGGTTAGAAAGAGAAGCACGAAGGACAATACGACCAATACGACCGAAACTACAATGAACATTGGATGTGTGAGATGAGTCAATTCAGGAACATCAAATGTTGTTTCAAATCAATTTAGCAGCAACCTACCCGTTAATACCAACTTGAGTAACCATTTTTATATATAATTTATTTAATGTGAATACACTAAAGAAAAAGAGTCGCGTATATGAAAATCTATCAGCTTTTATACTTTTTTTTTCGGATTAATCAAGATAAAATCAACAGAGCGACTATGCTGTTTTAAAATTGGCGTTTGGTGTAACGTGTGTTTCTTGAGTTGCACATGAGTAGCTTCCCAGTCCATTAAATTTTTTACTATTATGACTCAGATCTTTCTGTGAGCGACTAATTATAGTAGAGTATGGGGCAGCAGCAGTAAATGATGTTATACACAGGACACAAAATTTGAATAATGCACCGTACCCACTTTGAATAGCAAAACCAGTAGATGGCGCTCTTCTCTTTCAATGAGCAGTAAATATTAGTCATCAGATGATGTATCAAGCCTGGCATTTTACTTGTCTCTTGAAGGAGTAGTCAGACTTCGCAGTAAACCAAACTTGGATGTTATCATGTAAAAGATCTTTTGCATGTACATGTACGCTTTTATTTCATAGGCTCTTATCAAATATCCGTGGACACGTCAGATGTATTTCTTTGGCGGTAGTCATTTGTTTGTGTAATGATTGATTGTTATCTATGATAATCTCTGGAAGAAATGGGGTTGAAATTGTATAGTTTATCGATCAAAAATTTCGCTATTGAGGCTGCGAAAATGGGTGTGATTACATGTAAGCTATGCCATGAATTGAAAGAGATAATCAGAACCGCACCATAAAAAAAAATCTAGTTGCAAGTGTAACAGATGCAACTTGGAATCGTCCGCCTTCTTTTTCTCTATTGTTATGCAAGATATGATATCTTGTGTATGATTACTGCAAGATGTCAATATTTGCAATCATAGATTTAAATCAAACCGCCTCGAGTACATGCAATTTCTTAGAGTATTCTTGGAGATAAGGTCGTGAAGCCTATTTCTGATTGTGCAAATATGTCATGAGTGCATATCCATTACTGCGTATAACGCATTGTACTACAGGCTTGCTGCCGAATACGTTTTTTTTTTTTTCGCGGGTTGATTATACAAACTACTCGTATGCTGATAAAGAATATACAAATTTGAAGCAAGTCAAGGCTTTTTTGTGTAATCCAAATAACACTACCTTGTATCTGGCCTATGAATTCTACTTCCACGCCATATTTCTTGCTAAATAGCTTGAGACCTATCAAAGGCTCGTTCAAGAGCTGCACATTTGCATCGAATGAACCGGATAATATCTTACTTTGATTACTTTTTGACATTGCCACTGCAATAACAAAATAAAAAATTTCCCATCAAGGTCCATTGCGTAAACCCTACATAATGAAAAACATTTGATCACAAGACTTTGGAATGGACGTGCATAGACGTTTAGAGCTAGACATGCACGCACACAATACCAAAAACGTATCAAATCATCCAGGTGTAACAGTAATAGAAGCAGTTCTTTTTCTATATAAAGGCACCAGTGAAGAAACACAACATTTCTGTTCTTCTCCCTATCCTACATTTCTTCTCTAATAAAACAAACTATTGTGTGCTAGATGTTCCTGTTCCTGAATGATCAAATTACTACTGCACAATAGCTGCTTTTGAATTTGATGCAAAAATATGAAAATGAGATTAAATGTAAATATTTAATTGTTTCTCTACTAAGTGAATAGATGTATTCAACGTGAACGCTCAGTGGAGATGATGGTGTTATGTAAAAGTGTAGTTATAAAACTCAAATTGTATTTGAAAGCACGAGTTTCATTCAAACTGATGAAATGTGCTATTGGGTCATCAGTTTAAACACAAAAGACAATGAGATACATTTGCTTTTTGCAGTAATATTTGAGAGACAATAAAGAGACAAATCACACACCAAACTATGCGCAAAGCGTGTTCGCGTATATCCACAATAAATCATGGTGATGCAGCAGCAGCAGGAAGTATAAAATATGTGAATACTTAGTTTGTAATCACATTTCTTTTTTGTTCTTTTTTCTCTCTTCTACATTTCTTTTCACGCCTTTTTTCTTGTTGATAACCTTAAAATCAGAGCTGGCTGTTTCCATCATCGATTTTAACTAGGAGCAAATATTGATCACTTCTCCAAAACCTGATATTTTTTACATCACTGAATATCAGTTTAACAATCATGTATTATTATACCGCAGCTAATAACGATCTCGAAGCAACATCAATAAGAAAGTGCCAGAAATTACATGAATACCTCGAGTTTTTACAGCACACGGGCATTGTATCCATGGCAACCAGCAACAGCAATTACTGTTTGACACACAAAGTTTATTACTCTACTACATGGTGCCCATATTGTGGCCACAATCTCTGTATGTTGTTGAAATTTTGTGGAAATGCCACTTGAACTAACTCATACATCATCTCCAGGATCATACTAGCCAATGCTCTACACTCTACTATCCTCAAGCAAAGCAAACAAGCGCAAAAAAAAATGAAACTATATTATATATCGTTCAATCTACACTTGGCTCCCATTTTCAAATTATCCACACATTAAAAAAGCCACCAATCTGCTATATTCTATCCACTGCTATTTAATGTTAACTTAATCATGTATACTTGATGGCAATCAATCTGCCAATCAATATCCCCTTCCATCTATCAAGAAAAAAGCATCTTCTAATATATTTACTATGTAGCTCACTTTCTCCCTCAAAGTCCATCCAATATTTATGATCTACCATCTGATATGAAAACGAAAAAGTATTCTGCAGTATCTAAACGTAATAAAAAAAGTAAAAAGTTGAACCTGTGATATTTTTGTCCTCCTTGTTGTCATGGTATATTATTTCTCTCGACATTTTTTTTTATAATTTTCACAACATCTTATGACTGAATACAATCGGATTCTCCGAGCAGCATGATGAGCGTATAGATTAGCTTTATATCTACTATCACGCGATGAAATCCATTATGGCTTTAGGTACTGCTTACTCAAGCCATCAACCAAGATCAACGCTGCCTTTTCGCTATGATCTATATACATAACTTACTTGCTTCTAATAGCAGCAAAGGAGCATTTACGCTTTGTTTATTTGTATGCTATTGGAAATCAGCAGTGCAATCTTAATTCTCTTGTTGACGCCCAACTGCACCAAATTGAGGGCAATGTTATTCCTTCTGATAAAAGCACAGTAATAAACAAAAGGCATCCACATCAATCTCTAAAGATTAAAATGGAAGCTAGGCATCTTGAAAGTATTTTTAGCACAAAATACAACTTTAGACATATATTTACACAGAATATTGCACTCGAGCTATTCTACTTTAACAGAGGCCGAGATACCTTAGCAAGAATAAAAGAGAGGTCGTCTTAATAGTTTGCTTAGGGACGCACAAAAGGACGAGCGGGCAACTATACACAAAATCACATTATCCGTTTGTTTGTTTGTTTGTTTGTTTTTCTACATCTTGTATAAAAAATCAAGCAATTATATAGATTGAATTTTAATAAAAATGAGGGAAGCGTGAGAAACACGCTTCTTCTAGCTAGGTGTGTGTAGGTACCCCAATGTAGATCGCAAGGCCATTGTTAAGCATCCAAACACCTGTGATGAGCGTGAACGATGCTTTTTGCGTCTTCTCTTGGCTCAGTTTGATTGAGAAACATACCAAAAGGTACGAGTGTTTATTCTTCGGATGGCTCTCTACCTTCGCCTCGCTTCGGTGAAAACCAATCTGCATAGCGGCAGTTCGCGCTACCGATTGCCCTTTCGTATGTTATCATAATACTACTACTTTCATGTTGGCCCTCTACTTACACATGAAAACACTTCATATTATCCCTGGGTCTAATTATTATGCGATTTTCTACATCCATATACACATAACTACTCCATATACGGACTAGCAGCATGCTGGTATTTCCCGTTTTCAGTCCTTAGTGTCCCTGATACAGCAAAATCTGAATGCATTTGAGCTGCGGTTTCTTGCGTTCAGGGCCGTTTTAGATGGTCAGAATAGCACCAAACAATTGCTCTCATCCGGCAGTTACTTACTGCCACCTTTGCTCGACTTTTTGGGGACAGAAAAAACATGGTCAAAATTTGACCAAAAAGCATGAGGTACCCCTCATGGTTTTCTTCGAAAATCAAATAATCGCATTTTTTACCTTGATAACGAAAACTTTTACTAAGGCATATATTGAATCAAAATGTTTCTATTGATCTAACGTAACTCCTGAAATCATGTTTGTGAGACTTTGATATGTAAAATTTCGACTTTTTGGCCAGAAACCTCTTTTCATATTCTCGTAAATTATTCAATAAGTTTATTCAAAACATTTATCTTACTCGGTATCATTGGATGCACCTTGAAAAGCCCTCCAAGAAAGCTTAAAGAAGCATAGGGTGGTCATTATATTTTACTTAGTCGAATTTGCAAAAATAGTTCAATCGAGTCGAAGAACAATCAAAATCTGGCCAATCTGGAACAGACTATAAATCTGAGTTGGAATTCATTTTGGCTGGTGGAGCTGGTGGAGCTGGTGGAGCTGTTGGGGCTGGTGGGGCTGGTGGGGCTGATGGGGCTGATGGGGCTGGTGGGGCTTGCTGGCAAACTCAAAGCCCTTTTCATCATGAAGGCAATACAGTAATAGATGCCTTTGAAGAGTATGGAAAGTAGGTGGGAAGTCATAACACTATCTTTTATCATGCTATTTTCTTGCATTCTATATTTAATAACGTTAGTCTTGACATTGACGATTCATGGGCTGCATAAAATATCTGCAGTAAACAGGGAAATTTCTGGGGCTTTAGATCGTCATTCAAAGAAAACGTTGACAGCATTGAGCAGAGAAAAGAGAGTAGAAATAACAGTGGCTTTTGTTGATTGATTGTAAAATCATTAATCATATATGAACCATGCCTGACAAAATGCCTAGCAACGCAGTTTTCATATTAGGATTGTAAAAGTGTCTAGGGACCGAACATTTATTATGTTATGATGATACGGAAATCTTATTTTGAGAATAAACCTCAATCATGGATTTACTGAAACCAGATACCAAAGATTCGGTCGACCTTTATGCTTGCAAAAGGGCCTTCAATCACCCAAACCCGAGAACAACCCTTTAGTTAAATTGTTTGTCCTCATTACGGTGACAAAAAATTGAAACGCGAACAATTGACAGCTTAACAAATCAAGAAAAAGGCAGAGTGTTAAGCATAAAGAATAAATGGATTATAATTTATAGCTTGTAAGAAATGTTTGATATCACAAAAATTTAGTTCTCATTTATATTTTTATTATTCATTTCTCAATTGCACCCGCCTCTTCACCCTGACCTATTACTCTTAGTGTACGCGGATCAATCAATAAACACAAATTTTATAAAAAAGAATCACAAAAACAAGAAAAGACCTATTTGAATAAGATCAGACACAGAAACTAGAGATTTATTAATGAAGATGAGAGATGTCCTGTTTATACTAAATTCTGGATGTCAAAGTAGCGATTCATCTTCTACTGCGTCTATCATATCTGATCAACTTCAGCATCTTGATGGCTAATATACAATTCAATTATCATAGTCCATGTTGTTGCACAACATAGACATGTTTACCTATCAAGAACATCTTAATCTTTATAGACAGTTGCAGCCCTTCTGGCATAACATAGAGAACTAAAAGTATATAGTATTTATCTAAATTTTGAGGAAATATTCGTGGATCTCTTCCAAGGTCTTTCCAGATGTCTAATATAAAACATGATGCCGTTAGTAATCAAACTCAACTTCAAATGAATAATACCTACCTCTGGCATCAATTTAAGTAGCAATCCCCACAGAATAATGGATAAACCAGCATAAAACCAAAAAGTACCAGCAGTAGTCATTGCCTCAGTCATTGATAAAAAGGAAGTTGAGATGATCAAATTACAGATCCAATTCACTGCAGTAGCAACACCATTAGCTTTACCGCGAATGGACATGGAGAACATTTCCGACTGAGCCAACCAAGGGATATAACCGAGACCAAGAGCATAGCTTGCAACATAAATGATCAAGAAAGTCAATAAGACGCCAGTGATGGCTTTATCTCTAGGTTCAGAAGGACAACCCGAAGCAGTTTGAAGAATATCTTCGAGGTTCCCTTCACTAAAGATACATGTATTTTGTGAAATAGACCATCCACAGTTAGAATCGAGTACGCATCGTGCACAATGAGTAGCATAACCAGCGCAAGTTGGCTGTTGTGTTATGAATCCTTGTTGTGCTGCAAATGTCGCGCCAAGAGCGATTAAGCCGCCGATCATAACCAACATGGTGATAAGAAGCATCTTTCTACGACCAAACTTGTCAATTACAGAGATAGCAACAGCAGTGAAGACCATGTTGGTAGCTGCAACAATAATAGCAACACTAGTAGAACCTTGGCTATCTCTGAAACCTGCCATTTGCAAAATAGTGGCAGCGTAATACATGGCAGCATTGAAACCTGACAATTGTTGGGCAGCTTGCAATATACAAGCTAAATGAACAAATAGACAATGTTAGATTTCAATCATCATATAGTCGTGTCTTTCTTACCGATGATTAAAGGCATGAAATTATCTCTGTGCAAGAAGTCTTTGAATGAACCGGATCGGCAAGCGTGAATATCGTCATCAATCATCTTGATCTCTCTCTCAATAAACACCTCAGTGACAGAATCACCATAGACTTTACGGTAAGCACTCCTTGCTTGATCTAATTTACCAACTGCAATCAAACGACGAGGACTCTCGGGGAGAAAAGGCATCACACAAAACTGGAAGAGAGCGGGAATACCAGCAATACCAAACATGTAACGCCATCCATTTGGCACTTTAGCAAGAGCAATGTTCATGGCATAAGCAAATACTTGACCGAATGTGAGAACAAGGGTATTCAAGGTATTCAATCTACCTCTCAGGTGCTTGGGCGATAATTCACTGACATACACTGGCACAATCATGGAGGCAATACCGACGGCAAGACCCACCACCACCCTTCCAAACAAAAGTACGCCATAACTAGGAGCTAAAGCAAGAATTAAAGCACCAGCAATGAAGATGACAGACGAAACAATGACCAAAATCTAAAGTATATCATGAGTTGAATGCTGTTGTTTGTATATAAATGTCGCACAAACCTTTCTTCCGAATCTATCAGTGAGCTTTTTGATTTAAAGTTAGATCTTGTTTACCAAACACATAATATAAACTTACCAGACCTGAGAAGAAACCACCAAAAATGGCACCAAATGTCGTACCACCAACAATTAGCTCTTTCTCAGTGTTACTCATGTCGAAATCCTGTTGGAGCAGTGTTAAAGCACCCGAAATGACTGTGAACAGTGTGTAAGTGAGTACATGAGCAGGATCTATACACATCCTCAGCACATACCACCGGTATCGTAACCTGCCAAGAAACCGCCAACGCAAACAGCAATGACAAGCATGTACACAAAGGATGTGGCCTTTCCGGTATGTTCGGATTCGTCCGAAATTTCTTCATGTGGTTCAAACAACTCCTCATGAGGATCAATGATTGTCTTGGGATCGCATTCCTCTTTGGTTTTGCTCTTTTCAGTGTTACTGCGAAGACTCATTTTGTATGTCTTTGTGTGTGCGAAATGTGTCAATTGTGTATTGATTTGAGAGCAAGTGTTCACAAAAGATACAATAGACCTAAAGAAGAGAGGGATGTACAGGGAAGAAGAAAAAAATTATCCCAAATTTCTGTAAGACTTCCTTATATTATGAGATCCCTTCTTTTACCCGTTTGGCAACCCATGCGCCCTTTTAATGTGAAATCTTCTCAATTCCATATCGAAGTTGCCTGATGTTCCAAATTGGGAAGAATAAAACCAAATGGCAAGTATCAAATCAATCTATAGTCCATTTGTTTTTGACAGGCTGCCAATGCGTATTTGATGCAAACCTAAAAAACTTCAAGCAGCGAAGTTAACCATTCTGGTGCTCTATATTTGCATGTAATAGATACATGTCCTACAGTAAAAGCCCAACATCCACCTGAATAATTTAACCAACGTGCCAGTTTGAATTTGTATTTTTGGATCATGCACTGGCACTGTCTATCCATGGGTGTTGTAACGATTGCGATAGAATCTTGGCATCTGATTCTCTAAAAACTTGATCTGCACCAAACAATCCTCCGTTGGCTTAATCACTCAATACCCTCTAATGGTTCTGAAACGTTGTTGCATTTCCTCTTCCTCACAAATTTTTTCCGCATTTTGTAATTAAGTTTTCTTGATTGTTACTCAATCAATGATGAAAAATAACCCTTTATCGAGCTTAACATGTCAAGGGCGACTCTGGCATGTGGTATCTATGGCAACCAGGTACCCATTTGACAGCAATTTGTTACCATGGCAACCTATATTTCGACATTTGGCGTCATTCCATACTAGATGTCTGTCATCTCATTAACAAGTTGCAAACAAGGCCTGGCGAGTGGACAGCAACATTCATTTTTTCGTGACTAGACATGCTATCGTTTTCATCAGATTGTCGCGCGCCTAACGGCTATGTGATTGGCCATGGAAGGCAAGAGCATGGTCCCAATCCAGGCGCAAAAAAAATCCTTTTTTCACTTTTTCCAGACATAATTGACTATTTCAAACATTCATTAGATAAAAAAGCGGATTTGCTAGAAGGTCATTGATTGGGAAAAAAAAACTTGAGAGCGAAAACGAGCACAAAGAGAAAAGATTACGTACAATAAATGAATCCCTATATGAACCAAGGTAATCCAAACAATCCGTATTTACAAAATGTCTATGGACAACAGCAAAACTTTATGGCAAATCTGCCGCCTGAAATGCAATCTGCAGTAGGTGGTTTCTCGCCTCAACAAAAAATGGATGGAAATGCCAGCAATACAAGCGCGAGTCCTCAACAGCAACAACAACCTCAATTCGATCCTCAAAATAACGCTGCATTAGTAGCCAATATGGTTGCTAAAAGACAAATGTATGGTGGTAATCCTCAACAGCAACAGCAGCAACAACCTTTCAGTCCTGTTACGTCGAATCCCTCCATCACAGGTTCTCCAACTGCTGTTTCAATGGGTATGAATAGTCCTCAACAAAGACAACAAAGTCCACTGTTATCCAATCCTCAGCAGCAATTGTTGCAACAGCAAATCCATCAACAACAGCAGCAGCAACAACAACAACAAGCGTTTAGACAACCACAGCAAGCATGGGGTAACAAGCCAACAACGCCTCAACAAGCAATGGGACTGCAACAAGGAATGAATGAACAGCAGCGACAACAATTCCACATCATGCAACAACAGCAAATGTTGAGAAAGCAGCAGCAGTTCCAGCAGCAGCAGCAACAACTACAGCAACAACACCAGCTCCAGCAACAGCAACAACCTCCTATGATGGCCACTGTATCATCCCACTCACTATCACCTCAGACTGAAACATCTATCTCGGCAGTAGCAGCTGGCCCTTCTAATGTTGATATAAATGAGCTCAAACGATCATCTGCAGCAATGATATCTTCATCCACCAATATCGCTTCTGCTACGGATGCAGATATAAATATGAAACGAGTTGAAATTGTAAGTGAAGTTATGCAATTTACATGCGCCGTGCATTGACAGTTTGGGAGCAGATCTTAGCATTGAATATTGAATTGATCCGTCTATGTATTGAGAGTCAACGCACAGGAGCCAGTTTAGAGCCTAATCTACCACTGTAAGTTTTGTAGAAGCATACAGATTGACCTTATTTAATCGTATGATGATAGATACCAAGCTAAGCTGCAATCAAACCTAACATATCTTGCTACCATGGCCGATATATCCATGGTCAAGCCAGGAGAGGTAAGAGGGGGGGGGGTTTTTTTTTTGGTTGAGGAATATGGAGATTGGGGTTTAATACAAATGTTTTAGGAATACAAAGCACCATCTCCTCCAGATCTATCGCCTTTACCTCCAGCACAATCAGAGATTGGCAAGAAAATTCATGAATTACTCGCCACAGCACAAGGCTTATTCACTACATCAGACCTGAACCAACCTAAAAAGTCGGAATCACCCTATTCAGCATCTTCCCAGCAACAGCAACAGCCATCTCAACAGCCTCAACCTCAACAGCCATTGCCTCAGCAACAGGCACAACAGCATATGTCGCCTACATCGATGCGTGGTACACCTTTACAGCAGCAGCAGCAATTGCAAATGCAACAGCAACAACTGCTTCGTCAACAGGCTGCTGCCATGCGTCAACAACAGCAACAACAGTTCCTGAGGGCTACTGGCAAATCCAGTGCTAATAGCAGCGCAAATAACAGCAATGTCAGCACACCTACCAGTGCCAATACACCCATGAGTGTAACTAATCGTGGAGGTATGCCTGTCAATGCCACAATGGATCCTCAGATGATGTTGAGACAGGCTCAACATGCGCAAAGTTTGATGCAGCAACAACAGCAACAGATGAGACAGCAGCAAATGATGGCTAATATGGGGCTAAATTTGGCTTCGTCCTCGTCGCCTACTACAAACAACAACGGATTTAGTCCTCTCCAACAGAGTATAGAGTCTCCCAATATGCAACAGCAACAGCAACCTCAGCAACCTCAGCAAATGAACCCCAATGATGTGCTGGCTGCAGCTAATGGCATGATGAATCCAAATGCCATGTTGATGAATCCTGCGAGCATAATGAACAACATGTATAATCAGCAACAACAACAACAACAAAATGTGAACAGCAATGATGATCCTAATAACTATAATAATGTCATGATGATGATGCAAAGACTACAACAGCAACAGCAAAATCAGCAAAATCAATAGTAACCCCCCCCCCTGTTTCTCTTATTTATAAAATATAGCCATTCGTATGGATTTCCATGACAAGAATAAAAGCAAAAGGCATTTCGTATTAACCATATATTCAATATCCAAGCAGCACAAGTAATCCTCCATACTATATAAAACATAGCAAAGCAGGCACAAGTGATTGATAGCTGTCAAATGTGATCCATTCTACCAGCTAGTAAACATGTCCATCATGTCAGTATAATGATTCAAGATGGACCCGATAAAGCATAGTCTGGCAGATGAAATATCCACACAGCTCTCATATCCAATGCTTCTGTAGTGATAGAAACCATTAGCATGATTGAATGATGTCTATCCTAAGCTTTTAGAGATGACAGCTGCCATCAACTTAGACTTCCCTGTGACATGTTATAACGAAGGTCACTTTTTTTTTCTTTTTGTTTGAAAGAATTTTACTAATTTCGAAATCTTTAGGTCTTTTTACAGTCTCAAAATCCTTCCGTACTATACAACAAGCTTGAAAGACACATAGATATAGATTTTGATTCAATCAAAGAGCAGTTGAATATGTCGAAATATAATACGGTAGAAAGAGAACTCATGTTCCGCAATCCCTCTAATGAGAAATTTGGAACACCCTCCTTGCAAGAAGTAGTTGCACCTCACATTGAAGCCTTCAACAGTATCTCTGAATTCGGTCAAGGCCAGCAAGGTTTATTGGATTACGCTATCAAAGATATTGGCACCATGTCTGTATTCGACAACGCTGACAACGACATCAATCTCGATCCCTCAGGTGTCACATTGGGCAACAAATTGACTTATTGGCTCGAAGATGTTAAATTACACCAACCTATGGTGAGTGAACGTGACAGCACGACTCTTAAGAGAAGAACCTACCCTTCAGAGTGCCGTGAACGCCTCAATACCTATCGTGGTAAATTGCAAGGCAAATTGTGTTGGAGAGTGAACAATGGCCCTGTGCAATCTGACTTGCGTGATCTCGGTTTGGTTCCCGTTATGGTCCGTTCTAATCGCTGTAATCTTGCTGGTATGTATCCCAAGGAGTTGATTGCCCATCATGAAGAGTCTGAAGAGATGGGTGGTTATTTCGTTGTCAACGGTATCGAAAAGTTGATCCGTCTCTTGATTGTGCCTCGTCGCAACCATGTCACTGCCATCATCCGTAACTCTTTCCAAAACCGTGGTCCCACCTACTCTACTTTTGGTTGTGCTATTCGCTGTGCTCGCCGTGATCAAACCACCCTGACCAACACCATCCACTATTTGAATGACGGTAATGTCATGTTCCGTTTCGCCTGGCGCAAACAAGAATACCTTTTGCCTGCCATGTTGGTTTTCAAGGCTTTGGTTGATACCTCTGATAAAGAAATCTTTGATGCCCTCTGCCAAGGTGATGTGCAAAACACTTTCTTGACGGATCGTATCGAGCTGTTGCTGAGATCCTTCAAGATCTACTCTCTCTACACGCGTGAGCAATGTTTGAGCTATATCGGTGAGAAGTTTAGAGTGACCATGGGTCTCGACGAGGATTTGACTGATCAGCAAATTGGTGAAGAGCTTTTGAAGAAGCTTATTTTCGTTCATATGGATGACAACCGTGACAAATTTAACCTCTTGGCTTTCATGATCCGCAAGCTCTACTCTGTTGTCTCTGGCGAATGCGGTGCTGATAACCCAGATGCCCCTCAACATCAAGAAGTTCTCTTGGGCGGTCATCTCTACACTATGATTATGAAGGAAAAGATCTTTGACTGGCTCACTGGTATCAAGATGCAGATCCGTAACGACATTCGATTAAACCCTTCTAGAGTTGATTTCTTCAACAGTACGTATACAAGTGGATGATGATTTAGGAGTGGGTATTGATGCCGTATGTGTTTTATAGATACCTACTTCCAAAATGCCTATCGCAAGGTCAACAGTGATATTGGTGTCAAGATGTCCTACTTTTTGGCTACAGGTAATCTTGTCAGTAAGACAGGCTTGGATTTGCAGCAATTTTCTGGTTTCACCATTGTCGCTGAGAAGCTCAATTTCTTCCGTTATTTGGCTCACTTCCGTTGTATCCATCGTGGTGCTTTCTTTGCCGAGTTGAAGACTACCTCTGTGCGTAAGTTGCTTCCTGAGGGTTGGGGTTTCCTTTGCCCTGTCCACACTCCTGATGGTTCCCCATGTGGTTTGCTGAACCATTTGGCCCACAAGTGTAAGGTCATCAACGAACCTCTTGATACCAAGACTGTCCCTCGTTTGTTGGCCGCTCTGGGTGTCTCCCAAAGCTTCCTTCATACCATCAATCGTCCTGGAGATGTTGTTGTCATGTTGGATGGTAAGATCATTGGCTGGTGTACTCCTGCTACTGCCGCCAAGGCAGCACAGAGCTTGAAGGTGTGGAGAGTCAACAACGAGCACGGCATTCCCTTGGATTTGGAGATTGCCTATGTGCCCAAGTCGTATGGTGGTGAATATCCCGGTCTCTATCTCTTTGCCAGCCCTGCTCGTATGATGCGTCCAGTCAAGTATCTTGGTAACGGCAAGACAGACATGATTGGTACATTTGAGCAAGTTTACATGGACATTGCCTGTATGGATGATGAGGTAGTTCCTGGTGTTACTACTCATCAAGAATTCACACCCACCAACATTCTCAGTATTATTGCCAATCAAACACCCTTCTCTGATTTCAACCAATCTCCTCGTAACATGTATCAATGTCAAATGGGTAAGCAGACTATGGGTACACCATCTACTGTCTTGAACCATCGTACAGACAACAAAATGTACCGTATTCAAAATGGTCAAACCCCCGTTGTCAGAACTGAGCTTTACAACCACTATGGTTTGGACGGCTGGCCACAAGGTAACAATGCTATCGTCGCTGTTATTTCGTACACTGGTTACGATATGGAGGATGCTATGATTTTGAACAAGTCTGCTCATGAACGTGGTTTCGGTTACGGTACTGTCTACAAGGCTGAAACGGTGGATCTCAACTCGTACCGTGCTCGTGGTGAGCCCATTACTTACCGCTTTGGTCTTGATCCTGTCAAGGGCAAGAAATACCGCAGCAAGATTGGCGATGATGGTCTCCCTCACATTGGTGCACATTTAGTTGCTGATGATCCTCTCTGTTCCTACATTGATGAGTCTACTGGCAAGAACATTATCAAGAAATACAAGGGCCCCGAAGACGCCTATGTGGATGAGGTTCGTATCTTGGGTGATGACGCTGGTACTGGTGAACTCCAAAAGGTGCACATCAAGCTTCGTATTACTCGTTCTCCTGTCATTGGTGATAAGTTCTCCTCTCGTCACGGTCAGAAGGGTGTCTGTTCTCAAAAGTATCCTGCTATTGATATGCCCTTTACCGAGTCTGGTATGCAACCTGATGTTATTATCAACCCTCACGCTTTCCCCTCTCGTATGACTATTGGTATGTTTGTCGAGAGTATTGCTGGTAAGGCTGGTGCTCTCCACGGTATTGCCCAAGACAGTACTCCTTTCAGATTCAATGAACAAAATACTGCAGCAGACTACTTTGGTGAGCAGTTATTAAAGGCAGGCTACAATTACCACGGTAATGAAGCCATGTATTCTGGTATCACTGGTGAGGAGATGAAGATGGATATTTACATTGGTGTAAGTAGTGTTTCCGCTTGAGAGATGAATATTGGATACTAACTTAAATACCCGTAGGTCGTCTATTATCAACGTCTTAGACACATGGTCAATGACAAGTTCCAAGTGCGTACTACGGGCCCTGTTCATAACCTCACTATGCAACCTGTCAAGGGTCGTAAGAGACATGGTGGTATTCGTTTTGGTGAAATGGAGCGTGATTCATTGCTTGCTCATGGTACAAGTTACCTGCTTCAAGATCGTTTGATGAACTGCTCAGATTACTCACAAGCCTACGTCTGTCGTCTCTGTGGATCATTAGCATCGCCCATCTGTACGAAGATTGTGTCTACCTTGGGCAATCGCCGTACTTATGAATGTAAAACATGTAACACAGCAAAGGGCATTGATTTGATTGCTATTCCTTACGTATTCAGATATCTCACAACTGAATTAATGAGCATGGGTATCAAGCTGAACTTGGGCATCAAGCCTTAAATCTCTCTGTTGTTTACCCTGCCTTGTTATCTCTCTTGTTCTTACTAATTCTGTTTTATATATATTTCTCTCCCCCTCTTACTTTGTCCTCCACCACCCCCATATCGTACACATTTAGATTTCCATAAACACATCCTTTTCTTCAACAAATTTTTCTTCTTATATTTGTACAATAAAATGCATACAAAGATATTAGCCTTCTATTTGAGATTCTGACCAAAATCTTAATTTCAACTTTCAACAAACAATTAAAAGTTTGTTGTAAAAGTCATGTATATGTTTGTTTGGCAGAAAATTATATAAAAAGGGCCATTTGCTGCCTATAATTCAACTGATGCGAAAATGATTCTCTACAGAGTCCCGTTTTTGGCTGCGTTTCTAGTCATTGTCAAAGCAACAGCAACTACAACCACCAACAAAAATGACGCGGATATAACAAAAGCAGACTCGGCTGAATTCGTGCAAACTTCACCTGTTTGGCTGGCCAATGTCAAAGTGCCCACCAACATAGCCACCCAGTTCCCTCTTGATGAAGACATCAAAGCAGGTCCATTGCCCAAAGGAGCATTCAAGTTGGACTTGACTAGCTATCCACAGCCCAACAAGCAACCTCCCACCGATCATCCAGAAGTGCAAGCAGTGCTTAAGCTTCTTGATTTCAGCAAAATCCCAAAATCCAAGCCTCGTATTGTCAAGGACTGGGTGTTTGACCTGAAGGACTACAGTCCTACTGATCCTGATTGCTGGTGGTCTTCCAGTCTTTGCAAGAAGCCCAAGGTCAGCTATCTTCCTGAGGACATTTCTATCTGTCCCGACAAAGGCACTTGGGGTCTGAATTACGATGATGGTCCATATAAAAAGTGGTGGCCAGCCTCTGAAAAGGAAAAGGAGTATGATCAGCCTCGATTCTATAACTATTTGGTGGAGGCAGGAAAGCAAAAGGCAACTCTGTTTTGTAAGTATGCTCCCTTGTGTCGTTTGGATAGCCAGTTTTTAATGCTTACATGTAGTCGTTGGATCCAATGTCATCAATTTCCCAGAGGCAGCTCAAAGGTCCTTGAATGACGGCCACACCATTTGCTCGCACACTTGGTCTCACCCTCAAATGACAACGCTTACTAATGAAGAAGTGGTTGCTCAATTGTACTGGACGCAGAAGGCTATCAAAGAGACTATGGGAATCACACCTAAATGCTGGAGACCACCTTATGGCGATGTGGACGATCGTGTACGTGCTATTGCTTATCAGATGGGCATGCGAACTATTCTCTGGGACCAAGATAGTAATGACTGGAACTTGGTAAGTGTGTGCGTACTTGTATTGATAGCTGCCAGTCTACTGATGTTTCCTTGCTGTAGATTACGGGCCGTTTGAAGACGGAGGTAGTGGATAATTATTTCAAAGATTGGGTTAAAAATCGCGTTTCTGGAAATGACACTGATCATGGGCACATTACTCTGGTAAGCTTAAGTCTCTGTTGAGGGCGTTTGGATTAACGTTGGCACTCACCAAACATCTAGCAACATGAGAACAGTAATATGACTATTCAAATGTCAGAGAAATGGCTTCCTACATTACAAAAGACGTTTAAAGTGATGCCTATCCATCAATGCATCAACGATCCTCACCCTTATTGGGAAGAATACTGGACCTACCCAACATTGGATGTACCAGAGCCACCTAGACGGAATGTGCAATCAACAGTTGGTAATTCTGCATCTGTAGGCAACCAACTCGGCCTTGCTGAAGCTCTCCTTAGCTTGGGTTTACTTGTGTTTGCTGTAGCTGCTACGTTTGTTTAATTTAAAATCAAGTAGATAACAATTTAATACAGAATAAACTATATTTTATCTTGCAGCAAAGAAGACTGAAGTATAATAAAGAGTTACATAATGAGATGTAAAGAAAAACTCGCTCATAACACTCGCAAATCAGTGCTTCTAGCTTCAAGCAACTTTGCTCAGTTATTTTGGATATTATATTAAACTTCGCATTCAAGTTTGTAATTTTTGTAAAAGAAAAAAGAATTCCCTCTTTTACAACAATATAGCGTACTTAGTCTACGCTTGAGTGACAATTCTTTTCTTCTCTAGCATCAAAAACATCAATTACCTTTATATTTGGTATGCATGGCATTGACTCTGCCTGCGACCGCCACTACCGCCAAATAAGTTTCAAACTTCGTTTGACAAATTTCTCTGATTTGTTAACTTTTGTACATTTTGGACTCGGTACGACATATTTTCCCAAATTCGACTATGTAAATAGTACAAATTACCCTATTCTCCCTTAAGCTTTCTTGGAGTACTTTTCAAGGCGCATCCGGTGGTACTAATTATGAGAGATGTTCTAAACAAATTTGCTGAGAATTATTGAAAAATATGAAATAACGTTTATGGCCGAAATGTCAAGATTTTGCATATCAAGGCTTCACAAAAGTAATTTCAGGGCTGCCTTAGATCTAGAGAACCATTTTGTGATAATATATGCCTTAGTAAAGTCTTCATTTTTGAGGCCAAAAACGCGATCGTTTGATATCTGATGAAAACCATGAGGGGTACCTCATGCTTTTTGGCCAATTTTTGATGATGTTTTTTTTGGTCTCCAAAAAGCTGAGCAAAGGTGTCAGTAAGCAAGTGCTAGATGAAAGAAGTTGTTTGGCACTATTCTCAAAGTTTGAAACGGCTTGTAGCACGAGAAATCACATCTAGAGTCTGCTGTGTTTTGCTATAAACCAACTGTAATCGTTTATTAAGACTTGAAGAATTGTAAAAGAGACGACCCAATCAGGATAAGGATATTCTTGATCTTCAGAACTAATACATGTTAGATAAAGATGTGTCAGGGTGTCTCTGTATCTCAATGTGAGGGCACCATAGTCATTTAGATGCAAATATTGCCAGCCGCTTCTGATGATAAACTCTTGCAGCCTTTTGATTTTCCTGCCGTTAAAACCGAGAATGGGCAAGATGTTCCAAGCTTGTGTTATATGTGATGTGTATTTCCCTGGTATTGATACACAGCTCAAAAATTGCCTTCAGTGTGTTATTTTGCAGCTCAAGGTCGTCTAAAGACACCATCTTTTTGACCAGGGAACTGACATGAGGAGATTTTAGTATCGTTGAGACGAACGATGTGGTGTTGTCATCCAATTCAATATCCCCATCCAGTGCTTTTTGAGCAACTGCGCTCCAGTTCTTGCACACAAGCTGGCACGCTCTGAGGCTCTTTGTATTTTCTGGTCTTATTTGGACAACACAGTCTATGTTCTGGTGCAAGATGTCTTATGGTAGATTGTTCCACTTGTACATGGTTGTGGCACAATAGGTCGGAAACCTCTAGTGCACAGTTTTCGCGCATTATATTTTCCATCTCTTTACCAAAGAATGAGTTTGTGGATATATCGATCATTGGTATAGCACTATCAATTTGCTACACCAATTAATATTAATCTGGGAACTCTCGCTCTCACGCACCAATTACCGCCTGATCGACAAAAAAAAAGTTCTTGCCGCAATCCGTTGTATTTTTGGCATTGTATTCATCATTTACCGCATTGAAACTGAAGATCCTTAATAATAAGGTTTATACTGTATCATATGAGCCACGAAAAGATCGTTGTCAAACTAAACGAACCCCATGTTGATCCCTTCAATATAAATCAAAGTATACTATATTATACGCTTAAGATCATCATTCACAAATCAAGCAATGTATGATATCATACATGATTAGGTGTATATAAGATGCATCCATAAATTTCACGTTTCACACCCGTGAGTATTGACAACAACGCAGTTTTTATAGAGTATAGGGCATACTATGCAGACAAAGTGTATCAAAACCTATAAATACAAAATCAAACACACCAAGCTACCTACTAGATGCACAAGTACATCATAGAGCACGGTAAACAGCCTACATCAACAACGTGCTTGCCATATCTTGCAGACGGATGCATCGTTGCTATGTATAAACCATAGTGTATGTATACATTACTGTTATAAAACATGTCTACAACGGAACACACATGAAATCAAGAGTTGTATTTACTGATTCCTGAGATGGACTTGTGGCTCATAACACAGTACTATCTAAATGTGGTCAATTTGGGCCAGGTGCTCTCTCTCGCAATAAATATTGCCAAAGATTGATCGTGTCACAGGGTTGAGTAAGTTCCTCATCCCTTGGCAATCTCTTTTATAGTGTCCCAGGAAAAAAGATAAATAGCGCATTTTTTCCATATATGATATATATTTTTTGATTTTGTGCTACATTCAGGCTTTGATGAGACTTAAAGGCGATTGGCTTGATTTGCCATGGTTACACCATTCCACCTCGCATTTGGACAATGATTTGCAATGTAATAAAGATCAAAATGAGCTTATTTCTAATGTAAATGTTAAGCGTTCAGCTGTTGGTTATATGGAGAATCTTTTGCAATGGTTACGATGATAATCCAAGCTGCTCTAGTAAAGTATATGTGAGGTCATAAGTATACAAAGTGGGCGGGTTGTGTCGTACCCGATGATAAATACCTCTTTTTCACATTTCCCAAAAAAGGATTGTTCATCCCATATGCTGATTTGATCTGAAAGATGGAACGTGGATACCCTTAATTTATCTCTGGGCGGCAGTACAGCTTAAAGCCACTGTCAACGCTTATCCTTTAGCGAAAAAAGCTCAAATCGCCCAGTGGTTGATTCAATCACATATATAAAAAGCCCAATGTCGATCCCTTTCCCCCCTCTCTCTCTTTTTCATTTTCAATTTTATTCCATTCTTGCTGTGTCCACAATGAATGAAAAGATAGAGAATGAAGATAAAGTTGCGGTTGTCACTGTGGAGGATGCCAATAAGATCAAGTTTGCCAAAGTGCATCGTCCCGAAAGAACCAAGACTATCCAAACCATTGACACAGTTGCCTCTCGCAGACCTTCCATCAGTGCTCCCAAGCGTCCTGAAAAGAAGCCTAAGGCTGAAAAGAAGAATGTCGATATTGTAAGTTTTATTTTCACGTAATTTAACATGTTGACTTGCTCGCTCACTCTGACTTCATAGACTGAACATCTGCTCTCTCCCGAAGACTGTGCTGCCAAGTACCATACAGATATCAACGTGAAGAAGGCTTCTGACTCACGCGGCCTTACTGCTCAGCAAGCTGCTAACATCTTGACTGAAACTGGCCCTAATCGATTGACGCCACCAAAAAAGCGACCTGCGATTTTGAAGTATTTCGACTGTGTCATCAAGCTCTTCAATTTACTCTTGATTCTGGCTGGTATTCTCAACTACATCCTCTTGGCAATCGACTTTAAGGGAAACTTTCCTAATGTAAGTGTTTGTTTGTACTTGCTCTAATAAATTGTAACAGGTTATTAACAATCGATGTAGACTTATTTGGGTGCCATTCTTATTGGTGTTGCCTTGCTGAACGCCTTTATTGAGTTTTACCAAGAACAAAAATCACAGGCTTTGCTAGACTCTTTCCTTGACATGGTTCCTGCCAGATGTATGGTGATTCGTGATGCCAAGGTGCAACAAATTGATGCTGTTGACTTGGTGGTGGGCGATGTCGTCTTGGTGCGTATGGGCGATAAAGTGCCTGCTGATCTCTTCATCTTCTCTGCCTCGGATCTCAAAGTCGACAACTCTCCTCTCACTGGTGAATCAGATCCTCAAGAGAGAGGCGGCACCAATACTCAAAAGAACGTATTTGAAGCCGAAAACATCATCTTCAACGGCACATTGGCTGTTTCAGGTGAAGGTTATGGTATCGTTGTGCGCACTGGTGATGGCACCGTATTAGGCCAAATTGCTGGCTTAACTGCGGGCGAAGCTAAATCAGAGTCTCCACTATCACAAGAGGTAAATTAATACAAATGAAGCTAAAACTCCATCATCATTAAACTTATCTGTGCTACGCTAGATCTCCAAGTTTGTAAAGATCATCGCTTCCATTGCTCTCGTCACTGCAGGCATCTTCTTTGGTATTGGTTTCCCTGTCAACAATGGCAACGTCTCCCTCACATTGAACTTTGCTATCTCTGTCTTTGTCGCTTGGGTGCCTGAAGGTCTGCCAGCCACTGTTACTATCCTGTTGACTATCTCTGCCAAGCGTATGGCTGCTAGAAACGTACTCGTCAAGGATTTGCAAGGCGTGGAGACATTGGGTGCTATCACGCTATTGGCTACTGACAAGACAGGTACACTGACTCGCAATCAAATGACGGTAACCTATGTGTGGACCTGCCTCACCATGAGAAATGTCATGGACAAGCAAAATCAAAAGGGCCCTATTTTGGAAGAACCCGGTGTGCGCGACATGCTGAATATTTGTACCTTGAACACAAAGGCCAAATTTGATCGTGTCGACGTCCCTGTGTCTCAACGTCAAATTCTCGGTGATGCTACTGAAACTGGTCTGGTGCGTTTTGCTGCTGATCAGTTGGGCAAACAATTTGATACACTTCCTGATGAGTTCCCCAAGGTGTTTGAAATCCCCTTCAACTCTGACAATAAGTGGGCGATGACAATTCACAGAAAAAAACACGCTAACGGTTCATTGACTCTGTATGTCAAGGGTGCTCCCGAAAGAGTCCTCAACCTCTGTGATAAGATTCTCTTGGAAGACGGCTCCTCTGTTCCTCTGACTGATAAACATCGCGCTGCTTTCCAAGAAACCTATGTTCACTTCGCTAGTCATGGTCATCGTGTTATCGCATTTGCTCAAGACTTGCTATCTGAAAACGAATACCCCTCTGAATTCAAGTTTGACAAGTCTGCTAAGAATTACCCCATGTCTGGTATGACGTTTGTGGCTCTCTGCTCCTTGGAGGATCCTCCAAAGCATGGTGTCCGTGAAGCGATTGGTAAATGTAGAGAGGCCGGCATCAAGCCTGTAATGGTTACTGGAGACCACCAGCTGACAGCTGAGGCTATCGGTCGCAAGATCAACTTGATGGTGGGTGATACTAAGGCAATGGCAGCTCAACGATTGAATTGCTCTGAAGACGAGGTCCCTGAAAATGAATACAACAGTATTGTGATCCACGGTGACGCCATTGACACACTTACCGATGATGATTGGGATCTTATCTTTTCCAAGGATGAGATTATCTTTGCTCGTACTTCGCCCAAACACAAGCTTGAAATTGTTAAACGCGCTCAATCCATGCGACACATTGTAGGTGTCACCGGTGATGGTGTCAATGACGCTCCTGCTTTAAAGAAGGCCGATCTCGGTATTGCTATGAACATTTCTGGCTCTGACGTGTCAAAGGATGCTGCTGCCATGATTTTATTAGATGATAACTTTGCCAGCATTGTCTCTGGTATTGAAGAAGGCCGCTTGATCTTCGCCAACTTGAAGAAATCGATTCAGTACACCATCAGCCACTCCATGCCTGAAGTCATCCCCAACTTGCTCTATGTCATTGTGCCTCTTCCTTTGCCTTTGTCTGCTATTCTCATCTTGGTGATTGATTTAGGCTTTGAGTTGTTTGCTGCTTTGACTTTTGCCTGGGACAAGCCTGAATCTGATGGAGGTTTGATGAAGATGCCACCTCGTAAACCTGTGAATCCCGAATCCATTGACCGTCATCGCCGTACCTTGCATCGTCGCCAGCGCTACATTGAATATGATGCTGAAGGAGAGGAAGTTAGACCACCCTTGTTCCGTCGTGTTTACAATACCTTCCATGAATTGTTCAGTGCAGGCTATTGGAAAGAAAAGTTTGAAAAGTCTGATGATGAAGTCCTTGTTGATTTGCCATTGCTGTCCTGGGCTTACCTCGAAATTGGTATCATTGAAGCTATTGGTAATTTGACTAGTTACTTTGTCGTTCTTTGGTACAATGGTATTACGCCCTATGATGCTGTTATCATGCAACGTGGTGCTGGTTTCCCTACCTACTACTTCTCCAATGGCCCCAACTACGCTCAAAACTATCTCACTGCTACTGGCAAGCTCTTGGATTCAGCTGCTCAAAAGCAAGCTCTGGGCCAGGCCCAATCTATTGTTTATTGGAGTATCATGGTCATGCAAATGTTCAATATGTTTGCCTGCAAGACTCGTTTCTCTGTACCAATTGGCAGATACATGTTTTCAAACAAGTACACGTTCGCCGGTATCGCTGGTGGTGCTTCTCTTGCTGCTTTAATTGTGTATTGTCCTCCTTTCAACATCCCTTTTGGAACCGATTATCGTTTATTGCCTCTCTTCTGGCTCATTGGCTTTGGCTTTGGCATTATCATCATTGCTTATGCTTGTCTTCGTATCAAGATTAGACAAAAGCTTAGCCCTGTGTCATTCAATCCTGATATTCATGGGTTGCGCATGTATCCTACTATTCGCACTGTTGCTACAAATGACTCAAGATCTGTCAACAGAATTGTTTAATCTGTTGCACCACACACATTTAGAATTCGTTGCTCTTATATAGTTTTATCATATCTTTTTTATCAGCGCTATTACAAATAGTGCTTTACATTGTACACTCTTATACATCTATAATACATAATTACTCTTGAATAAATTTGTAATCAAACCAAACTCGATATTGTCTATCTGTTTGTGTCTTATAGATGGCGAATATTGTACCATACAGTTGCTAGCTATTGACATGTTCGAGATTTATTAGAGATTACTAGCAAAGGTATGTACGCTCAAAGGCTTGAAGCAAAATTGTTGACTGTTACGCCACCATCAACAGTAATCAGGGCACCATTGGTATACTGACCCGCGCGCGAAGAAAGATATATGCAAGTACCAGCGATATCTTCAGCACTGCCAATTCTTGAGACAGGAACTTTGGCTACAATGATATCACCAAATGCATCCAATGTAGCCTTCATCATCTTGGATTGAAATGGTCCAGGAGCGATGGTATTTACTGTAATCCCATCATAGCCTAAGCGACCAGCCAAATGTCTTGATAGATGATGAAGACCAGCCTTTGAAGCAGAATAAGCATAGGTTTCTTGTGCAGGCGTCTACAGATAATCGATAGTCAGCAGTTAGCTCTGAAATTGTAGGAAGTAAACTCACTCTAATGCCATCAACTGAACCAATGTTGATGACCGAAGAAGGATTTTCTGTAGATGCTCTTGCAGATAGCAAGTTAAAGCAACTGTATGAGCAGTGTTAACAACTAAATAACAGGGCTTCTTGATCAGAAACTTACGCTTGTGTTAGAGTAAAAACTCGCTTCAAGTTCAGTGTTAGGACTTTATCGAATGCTTCATCAGGAAAATCAACAAAACTCTCGCCCCACGTAGCGCCAGCATTATTGACCAACACATCCAAATCTAAAGATAGATGTTAGACAACACAACATCCATTTAAATTATACACCCGGCCTACTTGCGATCCTCTTTCTCTGATAGCTCTTGCACCAAACGTTTTACCTCATCCGCCTTTTGAAGATCTGCAGGTAATGAAATACATTTTCCAGGACCTTTGGCATTTAATTCAGTTGCTACCTTCTCGCATGCCTCCACGGAGCGACTAGAGATATACACTTTGGCGCCTGCTGAAACAAAGCCCTATCAATAATGCATTAGATCAATTGAGAATTTTATATCTTTTCTCATTTGCAAACATACAGTAGCAATCATTTCACCAATACCTCGAGAGCCACCGGTCACCAAAACAACCTTTTTACATGGTGTTGATGGATTAGATAGTGTACTTGTGCATTGATAATAATGATACCTTATTTTCAACGTTGAATAAATTCTTGTAATCCATAATAAACAGATAGAATAACAAGGAGAGAAATATGATTTGAAATTCGATAAGAAGGCGAGAAAAGTGACTCCCCAACAAATTACTGTTTGGTAATAGTTTATTGCCTGAATTGACAAAACGAATGTAGTTTGTATCACAATGACTGACGTGTTGCCTTTTTACTCTAATTCATAGCATATTGCAATCAGAGCTCTATTTTTCAGCACAGAATTATTGGTTTAACCTACTTTTTCTTGGGTTATACACTCGAGCCACACTATGTTTGATTTATTATAAGCAAATGTCACTTATGGCTGCTCGCAATACGCATACAATTCCTTGGCAATTTGATAAAAACGCTTTTCTCATAGTCTTTCAGAAATTTTAAATTTTGTATAATCAATCAAAGAGTTGATTTAGCAAATCACTGCAAATACCTCAGGTATGCAGTATATTTAGTGATCTCAATAGGGTATAGATGCCCAATCTCCTAATGTGGAAAAATCTGACATGAAAACTCCGCTTAGGGGTTAAAATTCGCTCATCTCTTTGTCCGTTATGATGAGACAAGCATATTACGGTCGCCTTTTGGTCTCGAGTTTCAGTAATTTTAACGTTAGAAAAATGTTTTTTAACCACATCCGCCAATTTCAATTCCATTTGCGAGAACTTGAGCAAACGATAAGTAAAATATACCTTTAATGACCAAATAATGACAAAGTATTTCTCGCATATCTCTCTCTGTTTTTGAAACAACATGGATGTCTTAAATCTTGACATTTTGCTGCCTTGAAAATATCTGCTTTTCAGAAAATAAGGCAATGTGCGTTTCCAATCATAAGTGGTTTTAGCTTGTGAAAAGTGCGATGATCATTCCTCCTGGAAAACCAAAATGATTCTATCAGTGAGAGTCGCCAATTTAACAAGAAAATTATGGGGGGTCCCGTTAGAATGGAAAGCGGATCTGTGTTCGACTGTGATTTACATCTGCTCCCATGTTACGAAAGACTACATTGATGCCAGCTAGGTTTCTTCGAAGAAGAAATTGGTACAGCTTCAATACCACGATGTTATGCACCGAGTATGAGCAAATTATGTAAGCATCCCATCTTGGTTTGTTACAAATAATCTGGAGATAGATCTACCGGAGATGTAATCTCATAAATCGAACCTTGTAACCATCATTGAAGTTACACTTCTATCTTGTTTACCAGATGCATTAACATTAGCAGAGGTTTGGGGAGGGAAGGATCAGAGGGAAAGATAAACCGCGCATGAGAGGCTCCAATCTGGGTTTTTGACATTTTTGAGTCAAAGACATGCCTCAATTGTTTACTGAACATCCAGGAACAAGCTTTTTACCTTTAACTCTAATCATTGTTGCTTTTTGAACATAGCAACAGGCGACATGGCTTAAACAAAAAAGAAAGGATTTAGGTTTTTTTTTTTTTTTTTTAGGTTGAGGAAGAGATCAGAAGCTTTTATCTCAATTTTACAGCTTTTTCCCGTTTACTGCAGTTACCATGGCTTCCAAATCTTAAAATAAACACGAAATAGTTTCTGCTGTCATCTTTCGTAAATACAACATTCCTTTTATGGATGCTATAGCATGGAGTTTGCATGCTTTGCAATGAGGAGTGTCATTACATCTACATGTTGTGTGTCTTGGATATCCAGTTAATGCTCCGCTTCAAAGGTCTGATAAATAGAAAGCACTTTAATGGCTTCTATGACTTCTAGCAGACAAAAAAAGAGAGTAAATGTCGAGGCTTAAAGCCACAGATTGCAAGCAAAATCTGGCAGGGCTTGTCGTTAATAGAGATATGGTTATTGAGTAGACCTTGGCAAATGTATACAAAAGAATAGAATTGAGATAAAAGATGATCTTTATACTAAATTAAAAGGTTACACACAAAGTCTATGTGTACCTGACAGGCTCATTCACTCAAATTTGAGTGCTAAACACACTGCTTTCAAAGCAAAAAGCAAAAAATGTCCGGCTTACCTGATTCGAACAGGTGACCTAAAGATGACAGATTCACTACAGTCTTCCGCTCTACCAACTGAGCTAAAGCCGGATGGATGCTTGAATGGCTCACTTGGTTAGAGCTTCATGCGGAAGCAGTGGGTATGCCGAGAGGTCGTGGGTTCGAATCCCACCTTCGCATCCATATTTTCCGCCTTTCTAACCTGGCATGTTACTCGGTATTTGTGCTTGCACGTTTAGGTGTGCTGCGGTGCGTCTGGCCGGTTTCTACCTTGAGTCCTGTTCGTCTCCCCCGTCTTGCGGCGCGGCCATTGCCATTCCTCCCTCTGTTTCTCCTCCTCTCTGGTGGGTTTTGATGCCGTTTACTTTATTGGTCCCCTCCCTTTAGCAGCTTCCCTCAACCTTTAATTTAAACATGCTTTTTCCCGCCGAATCACTGTTAGTCTTGCAACATATGATCATACCGATTCCGCAGTTGACTACAATTGTAAATAAATAAAAATCCAATATTAAACTGAGCTAAAGCCGGATTTTCATATTTAGGAGGTTTTCTAATTTATTCTGTAGCAAAATTTATACTTTGTGTCTCGTGACGTTCTATAATAGGAAATCTTTCTGGTAATCAGGTTTTTTTTTTATAAACATTATTGGTTTTCTTTTTAGAAACGTTACGTGTAGAAGTCTGTAGTAACGCTGATTTACTTCTGGTCAAATACCAAGAAAATGTACTTTACAACTTTACAACAACAAGCATCTGTTTTTTATATTGATGTGGTGGTATTGTTATACTACTTATTGCAGTAGTCAAAAAATCAGGAGGTTTAATAATGGATTTCACAAAAAAAAAGTAAAGCAATAATAAAATACAACAGAAATCAACTGTGTTTTATTTGGAAGAAAACATCAATCATTTATTACGACCATCATAATTGTGATTGAATACACTGCTGTAATCATCAGGAATGATTTATTCACACCACGATGTGCGAGATAAGAGTAGTGCATCTTTACTTTAGTATGTTTAAGTAGTTGTTAATGTACATTTGAGCGCTTTATTAATAGATTCAAATAGCATGGATTTGAATGAGTGCTATTTGATGAATTTCGGTTTTCAATCAAGTTGCGTTTGGGTGGCTATTTCATTACACATTGGATGCGCCCTAAAAAGCACCCCAAGAAAGTTTAAGGAAGCATTTTTTTTTTTTGTAGGGGAGTCGAGCTCCAGGTTTTATTTAAAGTCCTTTAAATGTCATACTCAGGGATAGAAAAGACTGTTGGTGGACCCAATGTCTGCAATGAAGGGGAATAAGATATTTTTGAACTAAGTTGGGAAAGAAATCTACTACTAATAAGGTGCGACTCCTAGAGCCTGTAATGAAATAGCCACCCAAACGCAACTTAATTGAAAACCAAAGTTCATCAAATAGCACTCATTCAAATTCATGCTATTTGGATCTATTAATGAAAGCGCTCAAATGTACATCAAAAAACCCATTTAAAAATACTAAAGTAAAGATGCATGCTTATATCGCACATCGTGTGAATGAATCACTCCTGATCACAGTGTATTCAATCACACCCATGATGGTCGTAATAAGTGATGGTATCTTTATCCAAATAGAATTAAATCAATAACAAGCATATTCAAATATGACAACTATGCCCTGCTGCCATAGTTGCACAATATCCCAGATAAAGGATTCCATACTTCAATAACAAACATCACACTTTAAACCATCAAGGTTACATTAAATCATACTATGACGATAGCTCACCCAAGCCCATCAAGGTTACTCAAATCGACCCTTATGGCCAGTGCTCTTGCATTGATTACCACTTTAAATCAAACATCAACAACATTTGCCAGATATCGCAATAGCAGCACCTATTGCTCTCTATCATCACTAATCCTACAAGCTAGATGCAAATGTATAAATACTCTTCTTTTTTTACTCAATTCCAGGATCTTCAGTTCATTTTATACACAAATAAAATACAGTTGGTTTCTATTGTATTTTACTATTGCTTTATTTTTTTTTGTGAAATCTACTCAAACCTGATTTCACTGCACCATGAATCGTCAATGTCCAGACTAACGTTATTAAATATAGAATGCAAGACGATGTCATTATGAACGATATAGAATTCAATAAAATATTACTATAAACGATAGCTCTATGGCCTGCCACCTACTTTTTCATACGCTTCAAGAGCATTTAATACTGTATTGCCTTATGAAAAGGGCATGAGTTTGCCAGCTGGCCCCACCAGACAAAATTAATTCAAACCCAGAATCATAGTCTGTTCCAGATTGGACACATTTTGATGATTCTGGACTCGATCGAGCTATTTTTGGTCCGTGCTGTCGTCGATGGAACAACCCTTGGCCTTGCAGAATGTCTCAGCTTCTCATTGGAAATTCTTTTGGTCCCTGTCTCTTACCTACATTCAACGTAATGTGATATACCGGCTCATCACAGGCTGTATCCCTTCTCGAAGCAGGTTACACTACATGATGCCTGGAGTCTTCGAGTCTCACAATTGTCCTGTCTGCTTGTCTCCCAATGAAACTGCCAGCCACCTGCTCTTTGACTGTCCATCCAAAGAAAAGGTATGGCTAGGCGTCATTTTTGAATTCCTATGGCCCACGACGTCCATCACTGACATCAAAGAGGCTCTTCTGTCCCTGGACTTTTCGGATATCTGGTACTCCCAAGTCAAAGGCATTCATCCTTACAGAATCCTACTTATCACCCTGTCTCAAATATGGCTAGCCCATATGCGCTTTGTTTTTGACAACATCATCCTTGTCCCTGAGGCGATTCTGGTGAATGTCCGCTCCACTGTTCGCCAGACAGTGGATGAGGATCAAATCCATTCCCTCTTGTAGTTTTGATAGTTTCGATAGTTCTGCTTAGTTTAGTTTAGTTAATATTTCACCTTCTTTTTATTATCTCTTTTTTAATTGCACCCGCCTCTTCACTTCGACCCAGTACTCCTAGTGTACGCGGCTCAATCAATAAACAAAATTTAA